ATATTAAAAACAACCACTGTGCCAAATATCAATTTTATCCCCTGGCAGCAATCAAATTATTTTCATACTTTGTTGGATGGACTGAAATGAACAACGATGGCAACTGTATATTATTGGAGGAGGCGAGCAGCGAGATATTACGAGCTGGAATTGACCTTAGACAACCTTTGATGGTTTGCATAGATAGAACTAGAACAGGTCAGGCTACACACAGGGTAGTACTATATTCCTACTATATTCCTACTATAATCTTTTATAGCAGGAACTCAGGTAGAAATAGTTCCAAATAAAATAGAAAAAAGGAAGACTTAGGCCAAAAACCCAATAGCCAACAAGCAAAATGGTATTTCAAAAAACATGAGGGGCTCCTGGGTTAAGTGTCTGACTTTGGCTCAGTCATGATCTCAGGGTTTGTGAGTTAGAGCTCCCAAGGGGACCTGGGTTGGCAGCCCTGAGCTGAGAGCCTGGACTTATTCTGTCTCCCTCTCTCTCTACCCCTCCCTTGCTCACACTCTGTCTCTCTCCCTCTCTGTCTCTCAAAAATAAACATTTAAAAAAAAACACTAATAAGAGAGAAAAAAGAAAGAAAATAAGAAAAAAAGAGATTGACAAAAGAGTTCATAAGTTTCCTAAAATGAAACTCAGAACAGAAATAAAAATGAAAACCAAATAGATGAGCAGGGGGTCTTTGACCTGCAATCCAGAGAATAAGGATTCACTCCAAACAGTACCAAATCTTCCAAACCTAAATTCTGTCACAACAATTAAGGACTGGAAATTTTCCATTTTCATTAAAGTCCAAGTTTACGATAACAGAAAAACCAGGCAGAGAGCCAGTGTTTGTTCAAGAGATGTCATCTAGAAACACAAAGTAGTTCTGAAAAGCAAATGCCTGCAAAATGAATACAAATCTAAGCCAAATCAGATTTAGACCATAGGGCACAGCACAGGAAGAACAACTGTAGCCTCTCCCACCTTCTTTTAAAGGGACAGAAGTGGTATTATCTCTTTGTCTCTATTCCTTTATTTTTTTACAGTACTAATGTCCATCCCTATCATAGACTTGTATTTATTTATTTTAGTAGGGGAGGGGAAGAAAGAGAGAGACAGTGTGGAGTAGGGAGAGGAGAGAAAGTCTTAAGGACAATAAATGCATAGTCTTCTTGAATCTAGTATTCTATCATGAAATTTATGATGCCCTTTAGAGAGTAAATGGCCAAACCCATCTACTAAGTCTAAAAAGCTAGAGATGTGCTTAAATATTCCACTTGAGTCTCTCTGGGACATGTTTTTCAGATACCATTCTCATTCCTGAGCCATCTCACCAGGAGCCAGATTGGGGTAAGAGAGCCGAACACCACATGCATTCTCTTGTAACTTCCAGTAGTTTGCCCATGTCTCATTAGAACCCTGCATGTGCTCTGTTCTAATCACACCTGTTGTGATAATGATCCACAAACATGCCTACATTTTATAGCTCTGTGCTTTAGTTCACCTCATGTGAAATCCTTCTCCTGCCTCCATCTTTTAGGACTGAACTCAAAAGTTTTCTATGAAACTTCCCTTCTGCAACCCAGTTCTCAAGGTTCAGTGTATATAACTAATCTCTCTTTTGGGTTCCCATTACATGTAACGTGTCCAATATTCTATACGGTCTTTTATTAATGGTTAATGGTTTCACAAAGATATCTCTGAAGTCTGAAGGGCAGTTAAAGAGAAGCATTATTATAGACTCTATTTAACATTCTTAGCTGAGTGTTACGGAGGTCATTGAATAACTTGATTAAAAGAGTTCACAAACCGTCGCATTAGATGAACAAATTGCATATACACATAAAGGGCACACAGTGCTTGCCTCTAAAGCAGCCTGCTTATGGACAAATGGCAGATGCTAGCAGATTGTTTCAAGGTCCGGGTAGGGTTGTAGAGCTGGTGGGGGTGGTGACAGGGCCACTCCACAATGCTTTTTCCTTGTGCTGGGCTCAGGTAAGTACGTCAGTTACCAAACAAGGGACGATTTAAAAGAGGTTTTAAAAGCTTTCCTGTTGTAAATTGAAATGCCATTATTACTCGAGGATCATCCAGCTAGCTCTTTTATCCAAAGGCAAAGAGGCCTGGGAGGGTAGTGTGGTTTTGAAACGTGCCTTCCAGCCAGCTGAATGGAAACTGATAGTGAAAAGAGTGCAGTGAACCAACAAAGGGCAACACCTGGATGTTGTGTGACACGGAGGTTCTGACCGAGCAAAAGTGAAGAGAAAGACTAGTACCCAGAAAGGAAGCAAGAGGAGGAAAGAAGATGCTCTAAGAAGTATGAGCCAACCTCACAGGTTTGCCTGGGGCTGGCAGGACTCTAATCTTCATGGAGTGGCTGCTGGCAGAGAAAGAGGTAGTATCCTAGTATCTGGTATTCACTACAGCATCGTCAGAATGCAGAGAAGGAATGTTGGGTTGTCTTTAACTTATGGCAGAAGTTACAGCAGGGAGAAGGAAGCCAACAGGAAACAGTTAGGGCTTAACAAAGAAGGAGGCACCGTGGAACAGCTGAGACCAATGAATGGGTTCAGGTATTCATGAGGGCGCAGACGGGGAGCAGCACAATCAGAAGGAGGTCAGGGGCAAGACTGAACTGAGAAAAGCTGCCATCTTGTGCCAGGTGTTAGCTCTTCCTTCTTCATTTCTAACATCTGTATCTTTCATCCTTGCCTTTCCTGCACTCACACACCACCTCATCTCAGTTCTTAGAGGCTCGTCTCAGAAGCAGATAGTCACGCTGGACATGCGATCTCAGTCTTTCATGCCAAACTTGGCCTGTGCTCTAAGCCTTATCCCAAAATGCACAAGACGTGAAGAAATGATTTCATCTTTTTTATTCTCAAAATATGAATCGTATTAAAATACAAGCGGTATTAGACTGGGCGAGCTGACCCTTGTGTGAGCCAGACTGAAGTCTTCAGGAATGTGAAATCATCTTATCTCAAAGAGACAGCAGTAGGTAATGGGCCGCAAGTTCGCACAGTCCAAATCACAGCCAAGGCATATATACGGCTGTGTGGTAGGGCTTGGGCTCTAGCTCTTGGGGAAGAATAGGGCTAAAAACTATTTGGAGAACCAAGCAAAAGAGGAGCCAGCACAGAAGGGTCTGGTGGAAGAAATGGTGAAATCTTCCACTCCTTTCTCCTATTACTTAAGGGCAGAGGCACATGACCCCAGCAAGGAGCCAAAGTACTTAGTTACTACTTGGATCCCATTAGGAAGAGGCCAGACCTCTCCAGAGCTGGTTAATTGCCTTTGCCAGGCAGTGGAATACTGGCCATAAGAGTAGAGACAAACTGTTCCAGTTTCTTTGCAGCATTCTTCCCAGACTCTATTACTTCCTCATGAGTGGCCTTCTCCTTGGTTTCATAATCCAGGATGACTTTGTTAGTGATGAGGGAGAAGCCAAAGACTCGAAGTCCACAGTGCCTTGCAACTATAACTTCTGGTACTGTGCTCATGCCTGATGAGAGAGAAAACAACTGTCAGGGTCCTCAAATGAGTCTTCTATACTCTCTGCCCTCATCCCCATTGATTACCTCATTGACAATCTAACATTTCAAAAAAGAAAAACAAAAACATACAAAGAAATACTTATTTTTTGTCTAGCTTAGGATGATCTGTATTGCTTAAAAGAGTGGGGCCTCACACGCCCTTACACATTTCTTGTAAGGAATACCATTGCAATGCTTTATTTCTATATCTGTTTTGGTCATTTTGACGTCAGTTCTAACGATATGGTTCCATCTTCCAGCCAGAGGTACCTATTTTTTAGAACAATCCTTAGAAACATCAAATCATGGGGCACCTGGGCGGCTCAGTCAGTTGAACTTCCAACTTTGGCTCAGGTCATGATCTCACGGTTCGTGGGTTCGAGTCCTGTGTTGGGCTCTGTGCTGACAGCCAGCTCAGAGCCTGGAGCCTGTTTCAGATTCTGTATCTCCCTCTCTCTCTGACCCTCCCCTACTCATACTGTCTCTCTCTCTCTCTCTCTCTCAGAAATAAATAAAAACATTTAAAGAAAAAAACCCATCAAATCATGGATGGGTCATTAGCATTATAGCCATTAAAGCCCTAGATGCTGGGTAGGGACAGTTAATGTTATAACATACCAAACCTCAACACCTTAAAGTCAGTTAAACTCAATCTTCCTTAAGTCAGATCCTCTCCCAATTTACAATCTAGGTCTACAGTCTTATACCTTTCCATCCCTATTTTACCAGACCCCTCCCAGGTCAAGCCTCCAGCCCGAGTTCCCCTTCTCACCAACAGCATCGGCCCCCAGCTTCTGCAGCAGCCGACACTCTGCCACAGTCTCAAAGGAGGGGCCTGCCAACATCACATAGGTGCCTTCCTGCAGCTCTCTCTGCTCCCCCATTTGTTTCCAGACACTGTAAGCCTTCTGCCTCATATCCCGGTCATAGGCATCAGACATGGCAGGGAAACGAAGTCCAAACCTAGGGCACAGGTTGGAGTCTCAGATTATTGGAACATCATGAGTTCTGACTCCCAGACAGGTTCTTAAATTGTACCCAACTATTAAAAAAAAAAAAGAAGAAGCGTAAGATACATACCTTTCCTCATTGGGCCCGATGAGAGGGTTAAAACCAGAGAAACCAGGAAGGTTGATGTGGTCGCGGATCAGCATGATATCTCCAACCTCAAACTTGGGATTGAGTCCTCCAGCTGCATTGGTGACCACTAGGGTGTCCACACCCAGAAGGGAGAAAACCCTCACCGGGAATGTCACCTTACAAACAAAACATAAAAGATCAGAAAGTGTTCTTTAATATTTTACCAACCCACCCACACGTATATGCATGATACACACCATGAAAGAGAAAGGAGGAGACCAAGTCATCCTAGCCCAGGTAGCTAAATCATCAAGTGAGCCAAGAACTCTCTCCCTCTTCCCACTGGATCCAACTGGGCTTATGCCTCTGATTTACCTTTGAGAGTGGGTAGCCTTCATACATGTGGAACCTGCCCTGCATCATCACACAGGCTCTGCCATTCAGGAACCCAAACACCAGTCGACCGGCGTGGCCTGGCACTGTGTACAAAACAGAAAAGAAAAAGAACAGGATGATGTTTTCATACAACACATATCCCCGGAGCATCTAGTACAAGCCAACTCATGGTGCTCAATTTGAGAGGGTATAATTAAGCAAAAGATGACATTACTAACACCACTTTCAGAAAGCTGAAGTCTGTTGGAGACAGGAATAAATCATAAGCTTACAAATAAGTATATAACTACATCCTGAGATTCGAGTGATGGGGTAAGGATGTTCAATGTGAACCATGTATCACAAGAAAGATTGTTTATGTTTTTTAATTCTAGAGAGAGAAAGAGTGTGAGTGGGGAGGACTGCAGAGGGAGAGACAAAAAGAATCTTAAGCTTAAACTTAAGAGTCTCCATGCTGAGCTTAGAGACTGACCTGGGGGGCTCTATTCCACAACCCCGGGATCATGACGTGAGCCAATATCAAGTTGCTTCAACCAAATGAGCCAACCAGGAGCCTTAAGATTTTTTTTTTTTAAAGAAAGTTCAAAAGAATGAGGAAGCCATACTACCATGAGGATAAAAGTGAGAAAAAAAAATTAAAAGTGGGTAATAATAAATGCAGCAAATGGAGTCCTTATAGACTTTTCCAAAAATTTTAAAATTCTCAAAATGTGTATCCTTATTTATTATTAACCTGCCTAAACCATGTTCCTCCTCACTCTTGAAAAAGGGAGTTCATAGTATATTCTAGCTTCCTCAAGAGGTTACTGAACAATAGGGAAAGGGGCTGAGTTTGGACCCATACAAGTCTTCTCCATGATGACCCACAAAACAGTCCTCCTGGAATACAGGACCCCAGTGGGCGCTCCAGTGGCTTGGGAATGCAAAAGTAACTCCCCACACGGACATAATAACCATTATTACCATTTCTCTTATCTGGCATTTCTCCTCTAATGGAGGCAGCTAACCTATCCCCTAGGGATTGGGTTTTTGAGAGAAGGACCAAAGTCAAGAGGAAGTGTTCAGGGATAGTCAGAGACAAGAGTTATTTAAAAAAAAAAATTACCAGTAATAGAGGAGAAGTGACAGGGTTAGGAAAACCTGAGTATAAAAAATAGGCTGATGAAGTTTAAAAATTAATTCACTAATCATTTAGTGCAGTGCCCTTCTCAGTGGGAGGGAGGAGTGGCAGGTAGGACCAATGTCATTGCTATTTCCCATAAAAAACCTTGCTCTTTGCCCTCCTTTTTAATGTTTCTTTACCCAACCCCCACCCCACCTCCCTGCTTTGGTCTTCTAATCTTGCTCCTAAGGGTTTGAAAAATATCTGTGCAAAGTCTTAACTCTCTGGGGAAAAGCGGAAGGAAGGTAGACATTTTTAAAATTAATAGATAAATCATGGGAAGTTAGTTATCTTGGAATTAATAAGTAAACAAAATAAACTACCTTTGTCCTTATTTTACTTGGTCCCCCTAATCCCTTTTTTTCCCAAAGAACTGGCTATGGTTGTTAACCTAACAAGTTTCATGAGCCATTAGTAGAAAATGTCAGTGTAAATATAAAAGATTCTGCCAACATGGGAGGGGTGGAGAGCAGTGACAGGGGGACCTGGGTGGCTCAGTCTGTTGTTAGGTGTCTCTTGATTTCAGCACAGGTCATGATCTCATTGGTCCTGGGATCCAGCCCTGAGTCAGGCTCCTTGCTGACAGGGCAGCAGAACCTGCTTAGGAGTCTCTCTCCCATTCTCTACACAACCCCACCCCCACCCCTGTTCTCTCTCTCAAAATACGTAACTTAAAAAAAAAAAAAAAAAAAACAAGGGGGAAACTGGGAGGCTCAGTTAGATAAGTGCCCAAATTTGGCTCAGCACATGATCTCAGTTTGTGAGTTCAAGCCCCACATAGGACTCGGTGCTGACAGCTCAGAGCCTGCAGCCTGCTTGGGATCCTGTCTCCCTCTCTCTGCTTGTGCTTTGTCTTTCTCTCAAAAATAATAAACATTTTAAAGTTATTTAAAAAAAAAAAAAAGACTCAACCAACTTGGAGAATAGTGAAGGGAAGTAGAGAGTAGTGAAGGGCAGTGCAGAGCCACTCCGGGAATTGCCCACCATACACCCATAAACCCTCAGGGTTAATCCAAGTTATCACTTATAGGAAACAATCACCTTCTCCACCTCATTTTTCTTTCATACCGGTCTACTTTTTCAGTGTTAAAAGGGGATGGACAGATCGTGATTCTCAAGCATCTCACAAAGTAGGTGGGTCACTTTGGGGGTAACCTTTACTTGCCCAAAAATTCATCTTACATTAGCTGTGAGGATTCCGGTGTTACCCTGAATTATTCTTTTTCTTACTCATGAAGTTTAAGGCATGCCCCCCCCCGCTTTTTTTTTTTTTACAGTAAAGGCTACCGCCAACATGAGACTCAAACTCGACCACCTGAGACCAAGAATTGCATGCTCTACCCACTGGGCCAGCCAGGTATACCCTATGCCTGGCCCTTTTCTAAACCACAGACTTATAGTTTTCTGGTTGTTATCAGGATGCTGGAAAGCTACCCTCAGATCTGTCATTGCTCCATGGGGCACAGGGAACATTGCTTTCTCCCCACTTCAAACGGTCAGTGTGTTCATTTGTTGGTGTGCACCAGCGAGTGCCTTATCCTGGGACACGAGCTAGAGCTGGGGAGGTTGTACCTGGCAGGACGACACAGGACAGGGGTCACTTGACTTTGTCCCAGGAAGTTACAGGCACTACTTTGTCCATTTAACATGCAGACTGAAAGAAATGGGACGGATGTGTGCAGGTGGTGGGTGACCATGGTGTGGATGGGGGAAGAGAGTGCACGTGAGGTGCTACAGAGCTTCAAGGCGCTCGGAATCATTACAGCCTAGAAATAGATCCTCATATGCTACCATTGCCACACACTATGTCCCTCCTATTATGAAATTTCTACTGGGGGAGGTTCCATCTAAAGTCATTCTGATTCTTAGTGGTCTCTTTTCCCTCTCTTAAACAGGTTGTCTTTAGTCAAATGCTATACAGGATAGTCAGGTGCAGGCCTGGTAAAAGCACAGCCTTCTCATCAGAATCCCATTAATATCCCTCAGTCCAAACCCTCACTCCACTTTGCCAGTACCTGTACTTTGGGAAAAGTTTGGTATCTCACTGTAGTCAAAGCTCTGGGCCTCAGTTAATTTATTGGCGAGATCTCCTAGCCCAGAACCACAGATCACTGCTACTTGAGGTCGGTGCTTGGTGTGGCACAGAAGCCACTTTGCGGTATTCTGATAATCTTCATACGTAAATCTAGGAAAAAAAGAAAATCAAGGTTAAGTTTTGCTCCCATTCCAAGGGCATCATAGACTAAATGACCTTCAGTGAAGAAAGAATAAAAAAAAAAAGGGAAAGGAAAAAATCAAAAAAAAAAAAAAAAAAAAACCACAAAAAAAAAAATCAAAAAAAAATAAAAAAAGACAAAAAAAAAAAAAAATAAAAACACACCAAAAAAAAAATCTAAATAAAAAAAAATAAAACAAAAAAAAAAAAAAAAAAATACAAAAACCAGAAAAAAAAAAAAAAAAAAAAAATAAAAAAAAAAAATCAAAACAAAAGAATAATAAAACAAAAAAAAAAAAAAAAAAAAAAAAAAAAAAGATATAAAAAAAAAAAAAAGAAAAGTATACAGAGAAGTACAGGGAAATAATCAAATGAAGAAAGTGAAAGAGCTGTGTTTCAGGATGAAGGCTGAAGAGTATACTCAAAATGGGATTAAGACCTTCCTTAGGGCAGTGACAAACCCAGCATAATCCTCATACCCTACCTATCAATAAGGACACTCAAAATTTATTTACTACCCTGAGGGCAAGAATAAACTCAATTTCCTTTTGGACCTTTGCCCTCCAATTCCTTCTTCAGACACTCTTATTGGATGACCAAAAAAAAAAAAAAAAAGCAATGGGAACACTCCATGGTAGAAATCTGTGTGCCAGTAGGTTCTCCCAGATTCCTGTATCTGGGATACCCAGACCAGTACAGATCCCTGTCAAGTGAACTGCAAAGAGGAGTTCAAGACCAGTGACTAATCAAGCCCCAAAAAGCAGAAGGAGTCCACAACTTTGGATGTCAGTGACTAAAACAGAACTGTTTCAGCATCTGGTTGAAAATACAAATTCTCAGCCCACCCCTAGAGATCCATAATTCCGGGGAGTATCCTTAGCATCTGTATTTTTTTTTTTTTAAACAAGTGTCCTAGGTAATTCTGTTTCAAAAACCAGGTTTAGTTCCTTCTGGTCTAGAGGAAGGCAGAACTCAACTTGGGTTCTGGTCTCAATTCTATCTTTCTAAGCAAATAAATATGTTTCAAATTCCTTCCTCAGATAAAAAGAAAGGAAGGTAATTGGTCGCACCTATCTTGACCCCCCCCCCCCCGTCTTATATATACAGTTTGAAAACTAAAAATTTATCAGGAAGTTCCAAAGACCTTAGACTCCACTGTCAGGGTTAGAGTCCAAAGCACTTGATTCTTCCTCCCTGCCCTCTCCTATCTCCAATCTCTTCACCCAGAGGTCTCTTTGCTGTTCAGAGACCTAACCACATGTGCTTACCATACCCACACATCCCAACCACATACAATTAACTATACCCATACATCCCCAAGAACCAACCCAGAACTCCTCACAACTCCAGTCCAATTCTCAAACACCCATCTGGAAAAATCAAAAGTTGAAGGAGGGACAAGTGGAACTGAGGTGTGACAGAGCTGAACACAGCTAACCAAGCCTCCAAAGGAAAGCCTTCTCTTCAAAACTAGAACCTTTGAAACCAGATGACTCTACAACAGGCTACCCTCAGGGAAGTAGCTGGGTGAGGGACAGGGGTGGGGACAGGGAAGCTGGAACTACAGGATGCTGGAGAGAGAAGCAATGAAATGGTAAAAAGTTAATCAAAGAGCATCCCCAAGAGGTGCAAAAGAAATGAAAGAAGTAGGGAGCCCTGGCCACCTAGCATATGTAGCAACTGCTTATAGGACTTGTTCAATTAAGGATTTCCTTCTCTCCTTGGAGACTTCATCCCCCAACTTATTTAAAATTTGTCTTTTAGGGCCGCCTGGTTGACTCAGTCGGTCAAGTGTGGGACTTCAGCTCAGGTCAGGATCTCGCAGTACTTGAGTTCCAGCCCTGCCTTGGGCTCTGTGCTGACAGCTCAGAGCCTGGAGCTTGCTTGGGATTCTGTGTCTCCCTCCCTCTTCTCTCTGCCCCTCCCCAGCTCACGCCGAGTCTCTCTCAAAAATAAACATTAAAATATTTTGTGTAAATAAAAAAAATTTTTTTTTCTTGCAACCAATGTGAGGCTTGAACTCACGACTCTGAGATCAAGAGTCACATACTCAGAGAACTCAGCCAGCCAGGCGCCCTGTGCCCAACTTACTTTAATTGGATCTCCAAACTGGAGGGAAAAGAGGTGCTGAGAGGAATTTCAGATATCTCTCCTCTGAAAGAGGAACTCCAGATACCGACACCAAAAGAACGTTGCAGCTTTACTTAGACTCCTCAAAGGGGAGTGAAAAGCACAGAGCGGGTTGACCTCTCCCCGGCTGCCGATTGGGGTGGCTGGGAGACAGGGAATACGCCTCCCCTACAACGTGCACTTCAGTGAGTGCGCACACGCACAAATAAGTACACGGAACCACACGTGTCCCCTTCCTGCTCCCGGAGCGCCACCGCTACCCGATTCCAGCGTGCACCCCGGCCGTGGCTCGCCGCCTCATGCTCGGCCGCCCAGCCGCGACACAGGCTCCCCCCGCCAGGCGGCGTCTCTACAGCTGCAGAGCACTCGCTCTCTCTCCTGGCTCCCTCCGGGGCCCAGGTGCCGGGCTTCCAGGTCTCACTGACAGCCATTCCCTGTCCCAGGGACCTCCCGGGTTCCCCGGGCCTGGTGCTCGTCTCACCCGTTCTCCATGGTGCCACCGCCGGCCTCTCGAGGAGTCCGCCCTTCTGCACTCGGATCCGGTCGGCTGAGCTGCGCCGCCCTGCAAAGCGTTGCCCTTGCCGGGTGCGCGTACACAGTGAGTGCTGTTACTCGCTGCTGGCTTATATCCCGGCCCCGAGTACCCAGCCAATAGCAGACGAAAAAGCAGGCCGGCCCCCATCACCATAGCGACACACCCAGATTCAATCGCCCGAGGCTGGGCTAACAACTTATATATGCATTCTTTGCTGCGCTCCCCACCCTACTTCCTGGGGACCACATCATCTGTGGTCCACTTATTTAGGAAGGTTCATTCCTAGAAGGTCATGCCCCACAGGAGGGAAAATGAAATGTTATAAAATGTCACTGAGAGCATATAGTCACAGCAACAAAGTGGTTTTCAGGAAGCAAGTCTTAGGCATTGTCCTCATCTCAGAAGTCCATGAAGTTGATAATTGACTTATTTTCAGAGGTTGCAAATGGATAGCCGTTGTTGATCATTTTAAGCCTCAGTGTGTCCATAATTTCGACGTCTTGGTGGTCAAACAACAGGGTGACCTACAAAGCATCAGTAAAGTAATTATAATTAAAAAGGATCACACAAGAACAATAATAAATATGATCATTTGTAATCCAGATCTTAGCAGGGAAGTCCTGTGGGGAGTTAACTGAAAAGATCTGAAAACTTAAAATTAAACTGAGTTAGAGGGCTGGAAATCCTCCTTTTAATGATGGCAAGTTTAACTCTCCAATTCAGCCTGTTAAAAGTTGTTAATCTAGGTGCAGCAGAAGTATTGGTGATGGCACAGACTGGTCCACAGCCAGGAAGTAATCCAAATTCCTTCTGTTGTCTTATACATCTCAGGCAAGGGAATCTAGAGACCATTGAGCTCTAATGGCCTTAGCAGTGGATCGGGCTATTCTTTTTCTTTTCTTCTTCTTCTTCTTCTTTTTTTTTTTTTTTTAAGTAGGGTCCAAGCCCAGCTGTGTCACAACCCTAGATCAAGACCTGTGCTGAAATAATCGATTGCTTACACAACTGAGCCACCCAGGCTCCCCCAGATCTGGCTATTCTATCAACAGTCCAGGGCAGATTCTTAACCATGACTTCATTTGCAGCAGATCCTGCCAGAAAAAAGGATTCCAAAAAGGGATCCCAAAATCCATTCCTTCATTAGGGTTGTACCCTGTGGGAGGTCACAGTCCTGAGAATGTCCATAGCCATTGTCTTCCTATTTGGAGGAGTCATCATCTGGGTAGTCATTTATAATGGATAGAATTCTCTTGTGTCTATGGTACGTGTTCGGGGCAGGAGAGATCCCTGTGACCAACTGAAGTATAGTGAAGGGAGAAGTTGAATAACCTAGGAGATATTGTCCTGTTATTTTCTGACTATCTAGGCAGGTAAATGTTCAAGGTTGCCACTTGTAGGCATGGGCAAAAATACATCCTGTGGGAGTGGCAAAATATTCCTTTTTAAGTCTGATTATTGATAGAGTCATTTATAGGGATGGAGGGTAGGACAGGAGAAAACCAGGGGTCTGTATTGTTCAAGCAGCCAGATAAATGCTTCTTTTGATAGCACAGCATAGTTGAAAGAACCTCGTGCAAAAGAGGATCTTACAGCCAGAAGTGTCTATTGGAAAACCAGTCAGGCTCCACTGTGTTTTTATGAGCCAAGGCGAGTGGCAGGTAATTCTTTTCTTTTTTTAATCTTCTTTTTTTAAGTTTACTTATTCATTTTGAGAAAGAGAGAGAGAGAGTACAAGCAGGGGAGGGCAGAGAGAAGGAGAGCCCAAGCAGGCTCCTCGCCATCAGCGTGAAGCTGGACTAGAGCTCAAACTCACAAACCAAACCGTGAGATCATGACCTGACCAAGAGTCGGTCGCTTAACTGACTATGCCACCCAGGCACCCCTGGCAGATAATTCTTGATGAAGTTTAGAACAGGATTGGAGGGTGACTATCCATGGGAGATTTGACCAGGTCAGTTCTGGGGCAGGGATTAGGCTGAAGCAAGGAAAGTTTCCCTTTCCAAGGAGGTAAGGCTATTTTAACATGGTAAGTAAGCTCAGAAGGGGCTGCCTGATTTATGGTGAAGTTGGAGAGAAAAGAGAGGTTGCAAAGGGGTATGACCAAAGGGGCACTGTATCTTCCATAGCCTGTAGTTGCCTGATGATGTTAGATGCAAAAGTCAGAAAGATTTCGTGCCTGTGCTGAACGCTGGGATATTTATATGACTGTTTTTCCTCTGGGAGCAAAGAGGGAGAAGGCATCAAGTCAGGGAAATCATTTCTT